CCCTGTGGATGGGAAGAGTAGCTGCTCTACGTTCTGTTAAAATGCAACAGGTTGCAGTTCAGCCCCCCCCTCTTTGTGTTTATCCGACTGCAGCGAGCTGTAACCACCAGTGTTGTGGTATAGAAGAGATGTAGAATCTGGAGCTATTTATACTCTCTAGCCAAGAGAAATTCAATGCTGGTCTTTCCCACAGAGTGGGGAGGGCAGGAGTGGCAAAACATAAAAGGGTCTTCAACAAAAAAAAAAGAGGAAATAGGAGGTATGACACATGCTAGAGCTCGTGGAGGAAGCTCAAGGCTGGCTTCCTGTATGTCTGTCTTCCTCTGCATCGACTGGATGACTTGTTGTGTTTGTGTACGGACCGGTGCACGTGTCATCCTGTTTGCTTGGCCAGTCCCGTATAAACAACAGCAAGGGTTGCATAGAGACAGACCCAGTGTGACGACATGACAGAGACAGTCCAGCAGTGTTCAACCTCATGATGTGCATGAAACGAGCATAAATTTAAATCAGCACTGCCACAAAAATAGAGAGAGAGATAGACCGATACATCTGCCAGCCGATATTTTGGTCAATTTAAGATTTTTTATCTTTCTTGTATGGGTATTGTCTAATACGTGCGTGCATTGGCCGATTCATTAGTGCATTCAGCTGCCATGTTTTGAGATTTCCTTGAAGACAAGCCTATTGCCGTTTCATTTGTTTGTTCAATAACTTATCTTTTTTTTTGTTGAAATCTTTTATTATGCAAATGAAGGAAGAGAAACTTATATTGGCCTCAAAACTTGGCCCACAAATATCAACAGCACATATCTGTGATTGGTTAAATATTTGGGCTAGCCTTAAAAAGCCTGTATCAGTTGATTTTTAGTTTTTTTTTTTCTCCCCTTATGTTATAAGTAAAACAGCTCAGATCATCTATTAACCTACTTAAATTAAGGGCTGATAATACAAATTTGAAGAAATATTTACTTTATTTTAGACCATGTTGGTTTTTCTTGTAATAGAGGGGACAGTAAATCAGTCCCTTTTCATAAAGCTGCCCAGCAGTGTGCAGGAAGAACCCAGCCTAGATGGATCCATGTTACTGATCCATGCTTGACAGCCAGGCACCAAAAAACCCAGAATGGTTCATTCACACATCAGCATTAGAACACTAATCTCCGCTGTGTGTGTGGCCCCAAGCAAAGGTCACAGTTGGCAGGATTTCCAGATGTTTCCTATTATCCTACATCACCTTCCTGGTCACTCAGATCCTTTCTGTCTCACACCAAAAACACACATGTCCACTGTCGCTCCTACAGGAGGAGAAACCAGGGTTACTGTGGTTAAAAAAAAATAAAATAACCCAAGAAATTCACAGTGACCACAGCCATGTTTGTTTATGGTTTGAAAGGAAAACCCCTGAAGTCCAGCAGGTATGACGCTGGTGACCGTGTTCGTGTCAAGCAGCCTAAATTCTGGTGGATCCTGAGTGGGGAAAATCCACTTGGCTGGATCGCATCAGCAAAGCCGTGCCCAATAGAGAAAATCCCCACAAATCTGTGGCACTAAGCAGCGATCTGTTCACACACTAGCAGAGTGTATGTGTGGTGGTGGGGGGGAGGGGGGGTCACAACTAAAGCTGTAGACAGAAGTTAACACCTAAAACTTGACATTAAAAAAACTAGATAAGCCGTTTCTGTCAGACTCTCGTCACTCTGCTCAGAACTTAACAGATTTTAAAGATCCGCGGCGATAATGACGGCTCATTTTAACCCTTTTCCATCCTTCCTCTCTTTCCTCCCAACATCCCGGATGAGCTGCTTGGGGCTGGTAATGGTCAGGGGATGAGAGACATACGGAACAGCTGAGAGGGCCGACGCTGGGTAGGATAACCGCCTCCTCCATGTTTCAGCGCTGGTCAGCGACTCACGCCGCGGCTTTGACTTTGTTTGGGTTAAACTTTCCCATCCTACTGTTACTGCGGTTTAAAGTTTAAACCTCCCAAGTTCCCAGAGTTTTCTGTCTTTACAGAACATAGAGTGCTACAGTGCAACCCTTTAGATTAGTTCTAGCCACACACTGCCCGGCAGCTGGCTGAAAGAAGGCATCAGGTTATCCTCATACTTGAAAACACAATTGTAGTTGCTTTTGTTTGTTTTGTTTTTTTGTTGTTTTTTTTGGAAATAATAGAAACTGAATGAGTCCCATCCTTTAATTTAATCAAGCTAAAGCTGTTTGAATTAAATGTAAGAAAATAACAGTTTGTTTTCATAGCATAATGTTTGCTAAAGCTTAACTAACACCTGAATAATGAGTTGTATCGCTCTGTTAAAAGGAAAGTAGTGAAGCGCAGGGGTTTGAGGTCCCCAAGGTTGGTAAAAAGGCTCTAAATACTGGAATGAACTGCTGTCCAGTTTGTAATGCTGCTGTAATGGAATGAAAATGTTCTGAAAGCCGTACAAAATAACAATAAAAGTTGTCTAATTCTAAATAGTCAAAACCCCCTAACAGTAAACAACACGAACAGGGCGGAGGAGAAAGAAAGCAAAGGGACTCTACAGAAACCAGTTGATATTTATGTCTTTTTCTAAAGGGGGGATGTACAGTAAAAGAGTTCTTTAAAAACACGATGAGCAAACGGATTCCTCCGCCGCAGCTGAAGCCCCGTCAGTCGCATCACAGCGTTAGTTCCACATTATCAGATTTTACAGACTTCACCAGCGTTCAGCATGAAGGACACGCTGTGGCACCGATGGCTTGAGAAGAAAAAATACAAACAAAACAAACTTAAAGGCGAACGCATCGTTTTTACTCTCGCTTCTTTGGGAAACTTTCAATGTGAACAATTTGGTTTGAGTTTGGATAAAACTAAAATATCCTCTACTTGACGTTCAGGATGAAGTAAAATCATTAAAGAACAATAATAAATCTATGATGGCTGCTTTGTTTTCATCCCCTATCAATGCTTTACTCTCTTGGCTCTGCAGATTCCCATTGTTCCCACCCCCCAAAGCCTGATCCATACTTTATCTTTACTGAAACCATATGCTGTGAGCTCTCACAGCTAGAGTCCCTTATCAACACCACAGTGAGCCCGATGGTGACAAAGCTATGCAAAAGGTTGGCAGAGGTGTTGGTGGGTATTTTCAGGTGTTACCTTTCCATGCAGCACACAAATAAAGAAGCCATCAGGTCAAAGCAATGAAATAAATAAAACTCGCTGATGCTTATTAAGTTGTTTTGGTTTTTTTCCTGAAAATCTGCTTTAGTTCATCCTGGCATCAGTTTTTCTTTCCAGTTCTGTCATCATACTCCTCCCAGATGCCTCTGTGGAGAGTTTGGAGGTTTAGTCATTGTTGTTCTGCTCGATTTGGGTTCAGAGGTGTGATCTAGGTCACAACATAACCCTCTGCAGTGCCGTCTGACTTGCAGCTGAGAAGGCATCACGCATCGTTTGGTTTATCAAAGAACTGATTGCCTCCCAAAAAAAGGTAAATGTGAAAACTTCAAGCACGGGATACGAGTGGATTTCCATCATTTCAGCAGGGTTTTTTTTTTTGTTTTTGTTTTTTTTTAGTCAGGGGTGACAAAACACTCCTCTGCAGACAAAGAAAAAAAACATTAAGGAAGTCCTTCACATGCAACAGCGCAGAGGAAAGAAGGAACAAATGCAGAGCTTGACAAATATCTGCCAGATGTTTCAAACAGGAAAAAAAGCAAGGATTCACAGGAATCACCAGAATGCTAATAAATGCATCACTTATCCCGAGTTAAGAATGATAACAACTAGTCTCTGCTTTCCAGTCAGCAGGGTGCCGAAGGAGAGGAACTAAATAGTCTGTTTGCTTGAGGCTCAGGCTTTGCATCTAAGCCTGACCTTTGACTTTTTGGTACAGAGGGGTGGGCTGGAAAAGAGGGGAATTTGCCTTCAGCAGTTAGCATTGTATCATAATAAAGATGTTTTATGCAGACCACACAGGGGCCCATCCACAATAAACAAGTACCTGAGGTGACATGGCAGAAGGTAAATGAAAGGCGACAGCGAGAAGTGATGGAATGAAAAACCACCTGCAGGTGGGAAGCAAACCAAATGCTGAAAGAAAGAAAAAATAAAAGACCGCCGGTTTATTCATTCAGGAAGCAGCTACCGCACAATCCCGACATGGGAAAGTGCTGAAAAGGGATTCTTATCTCAGTCTAAGGGAAGGCGTGGAGCTGGAGCTGAATGGCTGTGATCATCTATGTATTTTTGCAAATCGAACCTGAGCCTTAAACACACCATGGAGAGGATGGAGAGGTGTGATGCACCAATCAGGGGCCAATTTCAATCGATTTTCCACCCAATTAATGAAACCCACAGCAACTAAACACTAAAAACCACCTGAAACACCTATTCATTTGATTCAAATCTGAAAATGATGCAGAAATTGTGACCATCTTTGTATGTTAGATTAACCACAAGTCGATTATGCAAGAAAATCAAACAAATACAAAGATTGTCACAATTTGTGCCTCATTTTCAGATTTGAATTAAATTAATTGGCATATCAGGTGGTTGATACACCTATGCATTTAATTCAGATCTTAAAATAGTGCACAAATTGTGACAATCTTTGTATTTGTTTGATTTTCTTGCATAATCGACTTGTGGTTAATCTAAACTGAGATGATCTAACAAAGAGATTCTCTTTTGTAGTTTAAGCCCATGCACAGTTTAATAAGAAACATCTTATTTTTTTTATGTTTTCTTGTTTTTAATGCATGCATTAGATGGAGATGAAGCAAAGGGACCCAGAGTGAAGAACAGGAACCAGTGCACAACAGTTTCAAGGCTCGGATCACGAGCGGCTCAGCTCCATCAATTAAACTTTTACTCATTTTTTGAAACCAAAACATCAGATTCCTATCTGCCTAAGTGGAAGACAGGTAGTCGGTGGTGCTGAGCGCGTGGGTTCTGCTTTGTACCGTTAACAGCAGTGGCACCCAGAGAGACACCCTGTAGATGTCAAACTCACCGACTGAAGGAAGAGGAGCGTCCGGACATAGTCCCTCTCTGTGTTCAGGATTTCGTTGAGAACGCAGAGCCTGAGCCGCTGCTGTCGGTCCGAGTCCTTGGAGACGTGGATCCCGTTCTCCTGATGCCCGTCGTCCTCTTCCATGATGGGGAAAAGCAGGTCGCGCGCTCTTTGAACAGGAAAACACAACACGCGCCTTCTCTTTGAAGTATCCGCACTCTTAACAGGGGTGGTGTGTCAGTCCATCCTGCAGGAGCAAGTTCTCAAAAAGCTGAGACAACATGAGCTCTGAGAGGAAAGTTCAGGAGGAAAGTAAGCAAACCATGAGCGGAGAGAGCCTGGTGGTGGTAGCAGCACCAGCGGAGGAGGAGGAGGAGGAGGAGGAAGGGGAGGAAAGGGGAGGAAGGGGGGAGGCACCTCTGCTCGTAATGAGCTCACGCTCAACTAAAACAAACAGCTGTATGTCACACCTAAAGCCTCCATCACTAAAGCTGTGATAATGAAGTAAACTGATTAACATTGAACAACCGTGGTTATCCCCGGGAGTTAAAGAAAAATATGTACCTTTCATACAAAAAAAAAAAAACATGCATAAAAAAAATATCTCAGGAAAGAAAATCATTTTATGTCAAACTACCATCTTTTCATTTTTTTTTTTATTTATTTTTTTTGCTCTTTAAAAAGTAATTTTCTCAGTTAACATAACACTTTTGACGCTAAACATTTATTATTTAGTTGGGAATTTATTCATTTATCCCTTAAAACTATATCTTAATATTTATAAAGGAAATATTAAGATTATTTTTAATGGATTTATGTAAATCGTGGACCTTCATATTAGTTGTGTAGTTATTTATTTTTCTCTAATTCTCATTTAGATTAGAAGCAGCTTGGTGAAAGAAATGTAAAAGAAAAGCGCCCCCTGGTGGTAAAAACCATAGGTGCACATATAGGAGAAAGAAATGGCCTAAACATGGTAGGCTATTGATGTGGGATTTTATTCCAGGTGACAAAAAAAAAAAAAAAAAAAACTGATCAGGACACTTTATACATATACGGAGGAGGATTAGCGCCACTGAAAAAAAAATAAAAAAGTTAGCTGATTTTTAATTTGATATCAGTATAATATGAGAAAAAAGTCAGATTTCTCACTTAAATCTCTAAATTCTGACTTTTTTCTCACAATTCTGACTTTTTTTCTTAAAATTCTGACTTTTGATCTCACAATTCTGACTGTTTTTCTCAAAATTCTGACTTTAATTTTAGAATTTGTACTTTCTTTGTTAAAATTCTGACTTTTTTCTCAAAATTCTGACTTTTTATCTTGCAATTCTGACTTTTTTCTCAAAATTCTGACTTTAATCTCAGAATTGTGATTTTAATATTAGAATTTGTACTTTTTTCTCACAATCCTGACTTTTTTTTCTCAGAATTCTGACTTTTTTCTTAAAATCCTTACTTTAACATCAGAATTCTGACTGAATTCTGACATCTAAAAAACATGTTAGCATCAATCTGTAGCCATGTCTGTTTTCGAGACTAAACTAGCTCTCTTTTTTAATCGCCTCCTGATCTTCCATTAATGAAATAGCATCACCAGGGACCCCTCGGGCACGTAAAAAGTCCCCTAATTCCGTCATTTTCCACCAATGTGTTACTGTTCCTCCTAAACGACTCACACCCCTCAGTGAAGCTGAGTGATCCCACATCTCTTCCTTCATGGTGCCCATCTACATTAAGACCCAAGATTCTGAGATTAAGATGAGAATTCAGAGAAAAAAGTCAGAATTCTGAGATTAAAGTCTGAAGATGGATAGGGTAAAGGATATTTTAAAAAATCAGTTATTTTTTTCTTTTTTTTTTCCAGTGGCTCTAATCCTGTTCCGTAGGAGGGACCTATAGGAACTATAGAAATAGTTCCTATAGGTCCCTATAGGAACTATAGAAATAGCTCTACTCTCTAATAGAGCTATTTCTATAGTTCCTATAGGTCCCTCCTATTGCAGGATTTGTTTATAATAACTGAACAAGTTTTAACCAGATGCAACAACAATTCCCAAATAAGAGATGAGAGAACTGAATGGCAATATGTTTTAGGCTACTTTCAACACAGAGAGAGAAAACCTATGAGTTTGTTCCTGTATATACTGCATATAAGATTTAAGACCAGGTGGGTGTTTATTCCCTGCTCTTTTCTCCCTTTCCAGTTGTAGTTTTTGAAATGGAAAAAAGCAGGAATACATTAATGGTCTTTTTGGCATGATAAGAGGCTAATGAGCTAGAATTGCATTCAACTAGAATCAAAAGACAAACAGTTTGCTCCCAAAAGCATTTTCAGGTCTGCCTTCACACACATAAACCACTGTGATGTGGAAGCCATTGTTAGTCCACAGGGCTGGATCTTGACCCTCACTTTTTGCAGTCTTCAATCCTGTTTTAGAGAATATTTAACTAATCTTCCGGGAGCACATTTGTGGGGTTAATGACTCCTGTTGGGCATAAAGGCCTGACTCACAGTCTCCACACTAATTAATTCCATTAACCAACAGGCTAAGTCCAGCCTCCTAATCATATTCTCCTCAATACAAAGAAGTATACTTTGGAGCAGGTGATATATATTCTGGGCAAATAACAAACCTAGACATGGTTTGGATTTCCAGACCAGAAGGAATGTCGCCACTGAATGTCTAGAGTTCAGTGGAAGTGTGAATCTGAAAAAAAACGTTAAAGCTGATCAGCCAAGCAGACCTATCCCATGCAACTCTCTGTAACACAGACACATTTAATGCAGCTATTGAATATTCATCCACAGACTGGCATTCGATGTGGTCATGATGCAACACCACGAACAGCTGACTGATGCATATTTAGAAGTGAGGGGATTTAAGTACCGGAATATGCTGGAATTCCCTGAGTGACTCATTCTTTCACAGCCGACTGTGGAAGCAGGGATTCAGCAAGGACTGAATAATAGTTCTAATGCAAAAAATATCCCACTGATATGCTGGATAGAAGGATTATAGCTACTTCTAATTTATAACGTTTTCCCTCTCTAAACATGTTTTTACATACATACATATTAAAGATTACAGAGAAGAAACGTGCACGGAAAAGGGAGAAGACAGACAGCCTCGTTAGGGACTGCCTCAGAAGAGGTTAAAAGTTTAGGCATCTTTACAATGCTGAAAAATAAAAATAAAATCATGAAAAGAAATCCAATTAAAGACACATGAAATGTAGCCAGCATGGAGTTTATTGGTGTAGCTTTGTTTATTATTTAGAAAATATTTAACCTTATCTGTTTAAATGTTTTAAAATCTTAAACTAGTTTAAACTCAGTAGGTTATGGTTCAAATGCCACCAAATTATAATCCAAAAATCACATAATCTGCTATTGTATCATATACATCTATATGCAGGTGGGCTAGCCAAACTAGACTAATAAAGACTCTTTATTTCAGAACACAAACAATAGGAACATATCTAAAGATGGATAAGTTTGATCTTTTTAAGCTTTAACATTGTTTAATTGATCATTCTATGGGCTATGTTATCACTAAACAATTCTTTAAAAGAAAGAAAAAAGGCAAACAGGTAAGATGTAAATATTTTTAACTATATTTCTGTAAAACAAGACATCAATGAAACTTAACAGCAAATAAACATGTAGGCTGCAGTTTTAGGTACACGGTTAGGAAATTGTTTGTTTACCAGATTAAAATGAAAGTAGGAAGACCAAAAAAATGCAAGGCTTGGAAAAAACAAAGGGGAAGAAGGGGATTGGGAAATCCTTGACCTGGAGTCACCTTATTTCATCCGCCATTAAACAAAAGATTAGATGGTTCCCAGTAACCACAACATTAGTCAATTAATTCATCTTATTTACCCAAAAGCTCCTCAAAACACAAAGCAAATATACTTTTAATGAATGAAATTAGCTAATTATGTTTGTAGCTCTGTCACTTTACAGCAAGAAGTTCCTGGGTTTGATCCCCGGTCTAAGGTCTCTCTGCATTTAGTTTACATGTTCTCCCTTTGCATGTGTGCTTCTCTCTGGATACTCCAGCTTCCTTTCACAATCCAAAAACATGACTACTGGGTTGACTGGTGGCTCTAAGTTTCCCTTTATTGTGTCACGCTCCCTTTTGCATATAGACAAAGAGAAGTGCCCAAGTTAGGTGTCAAAGCCAGATATTGTGGTACAAAACAATCAGGTAGGTTAATTCATACACTTTGAATCATACAGAGAAAGAAATTTGTATTTAACCAATATAATTTTACACAAATCCAGGAGTTACAGACTTGGGGGCCACTGAAGGATGTATGAATGCTAATAAGGCTGTCAAAGCCAGGGAAGTACCATAAAGCAGTGAAAAAGAAGACTGTTTTATCACTTCAAATATAGAACAAATTCTACCTTCTTGGTCATATTAGCTTTTATTAACATTTTAAGGCAAGTGACAGTTAGTAATCCAAGAATATGTGTAACTAAATCTAAAATCATAGGGTATTTTTGAGAGACACTAAACCACTAAGTCCATGGTATGTTCTTTTATAGCACCTTTCCAGTCAGGTCTTCAACAGGGGGTCCACAACCCCTGGGGGGTCCACGGAGGTACTGCATTGGGGTGGCAAAACGTTTGGTTGATTAGACCTTTTTTTATATTCCCTCCTGCAATGTTTTTCTGCTATAGACTAAGTCAAGTCATTGAAATACTGATGGTGACATGGTTCATCAATGACACAGTGACAGACGTAAGGCTCCTCTAACCACTATCAGTAGACAATGCAGTTGAAGAGTCTATCCCAAGCATGACTGAGACAGACAGAGCTGGGGTTTGAACCAGAAACTCTCTGGTGGTAGAACTAACTCCTATATCCAATGCCGCGGTCCCCTTAGGTTTTATAGCATAGCTTTTGATGATTGGGATGTCGACGGTGCAGGATGCTCATCCTGCAATTAGAGGGTTGCCGGTTCTAACCCTGTCAGTGTCAGTTGTTGTGCCCTTTTTGCAACTCTTTACCCACTTTGCCTACTGGTGGTATCAGTGGGCCTGGTGGTGCAGATGTTCTGTCAGTGTGCCCCAGGGCAGCTCTGGCTACCATGTAGCTTGCCACCATCAGTTTGTCAATGTGTGTTAATGGGTGAATGACTGACTTTGTTGCACGCTGTGAAATCCAACTTTAAAGTCGGCTCAGAAAGGGGCTGAATAAATAAAGACCAACTTCCATTTAATGGCAGAGCTGTTGATGTTTGGATAGTGATAGCGACTAAGACCTTTAACAGAAAAGCACTCTCTATTTGATTAAGTTGAAAAATTTCCCCAGTTGGTTTTTGGTCATTTG